CCCCCTTTCCCCTCCTCTGGGCTCCTGACTCTTTCTGCAGCCTTTCCACTGCTACTCCTTGGCTCCTTTTTACTGCTGTCTTTCAGCCGCACCCTTTATTTTAAGCGGCTCATTCTTACGCGATCAATTATAATATTGTACAATCGTGGTATATTGTACAATCGTGGTATATTGTACAATCCTGATATATTGTACAATCTTGGTATATTGTACAATCCTGGTATATTGTACAATCCTGGTATATTGTATAATCCTGGTATATTGTACCATCCTGGCTGCACAATATAATTGACCGTTTTGAGGTTGCCCACACACAGCTCAATATACCATCACGTAATTGACAATGTAATAGTGCAAACCAAACTCATTTTGTCCTTGCAACCCGCTGAGACAGGGTGGGGGATTTCGACCCAGCTATCACTGTGACAGTTGCTCTGTTTACAGAAAGCAAAGACGCTAGTGCCCGTTTCTGGAACATAAACATCGTCAGCTTGACGTAGGGCGACGTTTCGTGACAGTTTCTGGTTTCTTTGGCGGGAAAAGCCATGGTGTTGGTGTGCACCCCGCAGCAAAAACTAGCCCTGAGATGGGGGGGGGGGTTGAAAAAAAGATAAATAGAAAATAGAACATAGTGGTAGCATTCCTGAAGTCCTGGGGAAATAATCCAGATTTTTTCAGAGTTGTTGACAATTTCCTAACTCTAGGGTTCCTGTGCACACCCGAGATGCGGTCAGGCGAATCCACTGGACTCACGTAGATCTACCCCCTGAGATAGTCCACTGGGACTTATGTAGATCTACCCCCTGAGATGGTCCACTGACTGGACATAATATGTAAATCTACCCCCTGAGATGGTCCACTGACTGGACTTAGATCTACCCCCTGAAATGGTCCACTGACTGGACTTAGATCTACCCCCTGAGATGGTCCACTGACTGGACTTATGTAGATCTACCCCTTGAGATGGTCCCCTGCCGTGTTTAGTCGATGCTAGACATGTTTTGAGTACTCCGTGATTTTGCTGGGACTTGCTGGTCGTAAAGGAAGGCGAGGGCACCGAGGTACCCCAAAAGGTACATGTACCACAAAGTTGGTTCATAAACTGGTCCGTCCCTGCACCAGATTTTTCTGAGTCAAGCAATTTCCTCAACTCCATGCGATAATTTGTTGGGCATTGATCTTTTCTGACATCTTCTCTTGTGTAGTTCTGGTTTTCCAGGAATGTTTCCACCTATTCACAGCAAGAAAATCGTCACACTTTAATTTCCACAGAGGGCGGGCAAACTTTTGTAAACCTCGATACACTTCTCGGATACGGCCGAAAAATCTCTGAGGTCTGTGTGCAAGTTGCGAACGTTAAAGATCCCTAGTAAGTTCAAATGGCTTCGGCCGCCACCGGGCAAAATTCAAAATTAATTCCTACCGAACTGAAAATGTTTAATGTGCCCCGTGCACGTATATGACTGTATGCAGTTGAGAGTACCGTAAAACACTGTCCAAAATCAGAACAACAACAAAAAATATTATAAACATAATATTTTTTTTTAAATGTTGGGAGTAGTACGTACTTCTGAAAAGTAAAGCTGTTGTTCCATGGACACTATCCAGTGAGAATCAGATTCTCTCAAATAGCGGTCTGTTTTATGATTGCTATGTCCCCGTACTACTATATTATGTTTGTTTTATGCTTGTTATGTCCCCGTACTATACATATAGGTAAGTTATGTCTGTTATTGCTATGTCTCAGTACTATTCGATAATATATGTCGGTTATTTCTTTCCACGCACTTCTATATGTGAGTTATTTCTATCATTGTTCTTTCCCCACACTTCTATGTGAGTTATTTCTATCATTGTTCTTTCCCCACACTTCTATATATGCGAGTTATTTCTATCATTGTTCTTTCCCCACACTTCTATATGTGAGTTATTTCTATCATTGTTCTTTCCCCACACTTCTATGTGAGTTATTTCTATCATTGTTCTTTCCCCACACTTCTATGTGA